ATTGGAACCACTTAAAGTTGGTAAATATCTGTTTTATTCCTTCCATTATATTCCAATAATTAATATAAACATTTTAAATGTATTAAACGATTAATTTAAGTATTAGAGAACATTTCTGTAGGATTTCCTTTCATTTAAAGAAGCTCATTTGTATTTCTGACAAGTAACAACATTTGCTTTGATTTCCGTTGAGTAGCTAGGAGGATTAATTATCCAAATTGTTCTCTAGCACTATTCATTATTATGCTGTTTTCGACCCTCGACCCTTGTAAGTGCTTATTTGGAATTCGGTACTTAAGCAAACGTTTTAATTAAGGAAAGGAATTGTGTCCCTATTGTATAGAAATATCAAAATAGAACCAAACATAAATAATACTATGAAGGTGCTATTTAAATCGTTTCAACTGAATACAAGCAGATTATTTTAAATTTTGGAATAAAGTAATCGTATTGAACATACATGTATGGGCATAAACCGACGTTGGGTTTAATACGGAACATTTCTCTTCATTTATGATTTCGCCCGGCAAGAGACGGAATTTATTATTTAATATTTCACGAATGCTTCTCAATTCTCTTAACGTGGTTAACGTTGCAAGCATACCACAGAGCAGAAATTAAATATGCTGAAGATATACGCAAAATATAAAATAAAATTGCTTTCAAGTTTTTGAGGTAGTTTTATTAGTTAAAATAAAGTGTGTGAATTTAATGTAAATTTCCTCTACTGTTTATGGAATAGGATTCGAATCATTGACATTGATCTGGGTGTAGATTCAATAAATCATTCTTTTTTTTGAATACCTATAGTAAACCGGTCATATTCCAATTTGGGCTGACACCTCGTAATTAAGTTACGCAGTTTGCAACAAAACCAATGCGAAGTTGTTCAATAAACGAATTACATAGGAGCCGTGTCCAGTTCCTACAAATCAAGGCTTCATTACGAAAATATAATTGCATTGTTTATAATTAGAGAAAGAATCTTTTTTTGCAAACAGCGAAAATTTAATTGGATCATTAGAGTATATAGGGAGTAAAAGGTTTCTTATACAGGGTGTCTCAGCGAGACCGGTCATGAGACGTTTCTGGGGTTCTGGCCAAACAAAAAATTTGAGAATGCAGACTTAAGTATTATCAATTACGTTCTCTTCATCTAAAATATTTTCAGATTTCTAGCACTTCCGGTTATACCGGAAGTCGCCACCTACTTTATTTTTTTAAATGGAACACCCTGTATATTTTTACATATTTGGATTTGTCTGTTTTGAAGGTTTATAAATAACTTTACTTTTTGCAATTTGAACCAGCAATTCTCGAGTTATTCGAATTTTTCTAGAAAAATTTGCTCCAGCGGACATTTGTTCAAAAAATCATAGAACACTCAATTTTTGAGATATCAATTTAGGATTCAGAACATGCTTAAACAACATGATGGAGTATGTTTTGGTGCCGAGAACGGCTGTCTAGATCGTTTGGTCACTTTACTATGATACGTTAACTTTTCGAAATTTGGAAGCACCATAACTTCATTTTTTTAAATGGCACCCCCCATATTTTATTACTTAGTCGTCTTCGGCGTCTCATTTTACATCTTTTATATTCCATATGTCCTATGCCTAACATTAATAGTTTGAGAAATAATTAGGGTTTTTTGAAAAATGCTCACATATCATATGGATATTAACCTAGTGTGCCATGGAAAACAAATGTTTAATGACTTATTGATAAACGTCAAAGTCTAATTTAGGTTGTTTGATGCTTGTGAGTCTAAAACCAGTTAAAATGGATATTAATAACGTAAATAATGTTTATACAAATGAAGAAATCCATAATTTATTTTTTGTGCACGAAAAGTGCGACAAAGTTCTTAGTAGAACTTGCAGAATGTTTAATGAAAATTATCCACATTTATCTCCGATGACAAAAGGTAAATTTAGAGGAATAGAAGCAAATTTTTTGCATTTTGGACGAATTAATCACGTGTTAAACTGACCAAAAAATGTAGTAGATAATGCAACGGAAGAGGTGAATACCTTGGCTTATTTCGAGCCCAGTCCCAACACCTCAATTCGAGCTGCCAAAGAAGATCTGGGAATCATACTACGAACTTTGTCGCGCTTTTCATGCAAAAAAAATAAATTAAGAATTTCTTGATTTGTGTAAATATTACTTTCGTTATTGTTATCGATTTTAACTCGTTTCAGTACTAATATTAAGGGACATAACAGATAATTATTAGCTCACATGCATCAAGTGACGTAAACAAGTGAGTCTTTGACAAGAACTCATTGAGAAGGCTTGTTTTTCATGGCACACTAGGCTAAATATCCATATGATATGTGTGCATTTTTCAAAAAACCCTAATTATCTCCCAAACTATTAATATTAGGTATGGGCCATATGGGATATAAAAGATGTAGAATGAGACACCGAAGACGACTAAAAAATAAAATATGGGGGGTGCCATTTAAAAAAATGAAGTTATGGTACTTCCAAATTTTGAAAAGTTAACGTGCCATAGTAAAGTGATCAAACGTTCTAGACCGCAGTTCTCGGCACCAAAACATACTCCATCATGTTGCTTAAGCATGTTCTCAATCCTAAATTGATATCCCAAAAATTGAGTGTTTTCTGATTTTTTGAACAAATGTCTGCTGGAGCAGATTTTTCTAGAAAAATTCGAATAACTCGAGAACGACCGAATCAAATTGCAAAAAGTAAAGTTATTTATAAACCTTGAAAACAGACAAATCCAAATATGTAAAAATATACAGGGTGTTCCATTTAAAAAAATAAAGTTGGTGGCGACTTCCGGTATAACCGGAAGTGCAAGAAATCTGAAAATATTTTAGACGAATAGATCGTAATTGATAATACTTAAGTCTGAATTCTCAAATTTTTATTTTCGCCAGAACCCTAGAAACGTCTAATGACAGGTCTCGCTGAGACACCCTGTATACAGGTGTCCCGCAACGATTGTACAAAACTGCATCAGCGTATTCTATGATCAAAACTAAACAAAAAAAGCCTAATAAACATAGGTCCGAAAATGGACCATTTTCAAGATATTCAAAGATTTAGTTTCATAAGTTGATATTGTTAACATCATGAATTTAAATTTGTTTTTATAATAATTAAGTCGTTACTATGATTACGATAAGTTGTCTAATCAAAAAAAAATAATAATACTTCACGAAATTATTATTTTACTATTTAATTTAATAAAACTATTAAGTATGGCTCCTATTAATTACTCCAAGGAAGAGATGGCGGATATGGTGTATTGTTACGGACTAGCTGATGGAAATGCGTCGTTAGCAGCTCGTCATTACGCGCAAAGGTTCCCGAACAGACGATTGCCTAATAGTCACACCTTTAGCAGACTATTTCTCAGATTAAAAGAAACGGGAAGCGTAACCCACAGCCATTCCACGGAGAGACATTACACAAGGCCGGTGGAATTAGAAGAAGCAGTTTTGAGAAGAGTCGATGAAAATGCCTCAACCAGCATTAGAAGAATTTCTGCACAAGAAAACATTAACAAAACAACCGTTCACCGCATTTTAAGGGAGCAGTTGCTTTATCCTTATCATTACAACACCGTTCAAGCTCTAACAGAAAATGATGGCGAAAAAAGAGAGATTTTTTGTAGGTGGGCCATACAGGAAGAGGTAGTAAACGTCGACTTTCCCATAAACATTGTATTTACGGATGAAGCAACATTTACTCAAAGCGGAATTTTTAATATTCATAATGCGCACGTTTGGAGCGATGAAAATCCCCATGCAATACTAGAAACTCATCATCAGTGGCGATTCAGTGTTAATGTATGGGCTGGAGTTATAGGTGATCAGTTATTAGGTCCATTTTTTCTTCCAAAGAGATTGACAGCCGATGCCTACATACATTTTTTACAAAATGACCTTACAGAGGCATTTGATGAATTACCTCAACAAATTCTAGAAGATTGCTACTTTATGCACGATTATGCACGCGCTACTCGAGCATACTTAAATAACAGATTTGGCAATAAGTGGATTGGCCGAGGAGGGCCACCTCGTTCACCAGATTTAAATCCGTTAGATTTTTGGTTTTGGGGACATTTAAAACAAATTGTTTATTCTGAAGACGTTCAAAATGTGCAGGATTTGAAGAATAAAATTAGTAACGCATTTGACACAGTAAAACAAATTCCTGGTATCTTTGAACGCATTAGAAGTTCATTTAGAAAACGTATCCGTTTGTGTTTAGAAGTAAATGGTGCGCATATTGAACATTTATTATGACATGAATCTTTTCCAATTTGTTAAATATTCGTTGTTTTTATGCTGGTTGAACGATTTTCTTCGACAATCTTTGTTACTTGTTTTGTTAAATTATTAATGAACTGTATTAATTAACTTAATATTATCTTATTATTTATTAAACTTTATCTTAACCATCGTAACCATGGTAATCATATAATTATTGCATCTAAATCGTTAGAATTAATGATGTATACAATAGGTCAGCTTATGAAACTAAAACTTTGAATATCTCGAAATTGGTCCATTTTCGGACCTATGTTTATTAGACTTTTCTTGTCGACGATTGTACAATCGTTGCGGGACACCTGTATATCATTTTGTTCATTACTAGGTTAAATAGCATTTTTCAAATTTTAATATTGTATCAATATGTAGCAAATGTATGTTGATGATGTAATCAAAGTAATTTCTTTATTGTTTAATTTCATTTCTTAATTAAAACGTTTTGCTAATCACTGAATTCCAAATAAGCACTTACAAGGGGTTAAGGGCTGAAAGCAGCATATTAATGAATAGACGCGAGAACAATTTAGATAATTATTTCCAACAACACAACAGAAATCGGAGCTAATATAGTTAGTTATTAGAACGTTTTGTAACATTTACATTTATACTACGCTTTATCTGGAACATAATAAATTTGGAACTTTTGTACCAATTATCGGAAAGTAATAAGAAAGTTACACTAACCTGATATCCATGTCCCATTGAATTTAGCTGGTTCGGGTAGTTTTAAATAGATATCTTCCAGAGTAGGTTTTTCCCCTTTCACTCTAGAACCTTCTTCAGGCGGCGAAACCAGCACTATACTGAATACTATCAGTCCCAAAACTGCTACAATCACTAGTAATGCGATGAAAATTCCTCGCCAATTTCGCTCGTTTGGTGAACTAACGACTAATTCCTGAAACAAATATTCTTGGTTACTCTCACTTCGATTTCCACACGATTTACATTAGGAGGGTCGTAATTTACCGATTACCGAGCAGTTTTACATCAGTTTCCGGCATAAATTGACGCGAAAATGAAATATCGAACCGGCGGTATTCACGGGAAGCGTTGTGTAATAAAGCGGAAACTGTTCCTATATATACGAACAACATAACATGCTTATTTGATGTAATAAACTTTGTTAAACATTTCGTGTTTATTTTGGAAATACAAGTTATATTTTGTAATGAAATAGTTACATTTTAAAATAAAATAGTTACATTTTGGAACAAAATAGTTATATTTTATTAGTAAAAATTTCGTTTTATATGAATTTTATTATATGTAGTATTGTAATTCTTTAAAAAAATCTATGTATAGCCATAAATATATCCACGTAAAGTTAATTTTCAAAGAGAGATTCTAAGAAGATTTTAAGTAAGCAAACTTGATTAACAACCTTTTCATAATTACGAGTTCATCTTTCAACGTGGTGTTCATGTTCTTTAAGAGGAGAATAAATTAATAAACAAATCTGGATTGTTTATACAATTCATCTTTTTGCCTGTTAGCGAGTAAACTACTAAACATTGATTCATGATTTAAAATATGTTTGTTTTAGCCTCTTATTTTTTAAAATTTATGGTAATAATATATTTTATTAAATAAACATAATCTTACCTCAACGTATGCATATGGAGCAACGATTTTCACTCGATTAATCGAGTTTTTTCCTGATGTCTTATTACCATTCTTTGGTTGCACCTTATTAATGTTATTTTGTTCCACATCCATAATAAAATTATTGGATTTTTATTGTCGGAAAGATTCCAATCGAAATTACCTTTCTTATTTTAATTAAAAAATATGTTTGAGCATATATTCACTAAATCAGTGTAATCATTTTTGTATATTGGTGTATACAAAATAAGTTTAAACAAATTCTCTATCACTAATAAAATATTTCTTTATAGCCTTTTGATTAATAAATAGGTTCAAAGATGATTCTTGAATCATTTACATCTTTTACATGTTGAATTCAAATTCTTATCCGGATGGAGATGATCACAGAGGGTTTTAATAAAAATTACATTTTAAATAGAAAATGTTTACTGAAAGTTTTTCGCGTTTATTAATCACGTTGTTTGTTGGTTGACTTGCAATAAATTTCGAGATCGACACCAGCCCTTCTACAGAGACAGCCCGAGACACACTGAACGTTGAAAGCTGAAGCTTTGAAGCGCGGGTCTTGTAGCTTCCCTCCGCGAATCGTTTTCAGGGCCGTAATTGGATTATTTGTTAGGGCAACGCCTTCCGGTGCATGGCTGTTATGAATATCGAAGGGCGATTTTAAGAATATTACCCGGTTATGAATTACCTAAGACACGTGAATAAATTAGTGACCTTCTGGAAATTTGTGCTTTATTCACAAGTACGTCTTATTTTACGACGAATATTACGTTATTCGACGGTTAGGAATTTGCCCTCGACTTGTTTTTATTTTCCTCTTTATTGTTACTCAAAAAGGGTGTTCGCTTTTATTTTAGTTATTAACATCAAAAAGCTTTCAAAAGTACTTACAAAAAAAAACATGGTATTTAACTTTGTTGCAGGATAATTTCCTTTTTAACTCATCTTTTTGAAATAAGTAAAACAAAAAAATTGTAAAAGTATTAGAAAACAACAAAGTGTGGTCTTGATATATAAATAGCAAACTCGACGAAGGGAGGATTATCGGAAGATGTTCAAACGGCTCATTTTGAAGGTGTTTTTATTGTTTGTTGATCCCAATGCTTTTTGAACTTCAAATTATTATATACTGCACTAATTAAACTGGATCGTATGAAATTAATTTCGCGCAATCTCTAAATAAATTAATTATTGAACATTAAGTAACTAATAAGCTAATAATTAGATCAGTTAATTAACTAATTCTCACGAAACTTTAACAATATTTTTCGAATTAATTAATTAATAATTAATTTTTAATTAGAACCGAATAAAGAAGGAAGTTAACTTGACTCGGTAAGATATACACAGAGTCCTGTATAACAGTTTCCCGGAAGCAATTTTAAAAGTTTCCTACTTATACCTTGACGCCGGGAAAATCGATTTTCCGAGTTTGCCCGCCATCTACGGAAAAACATTGAAACACCGCTGCAAAGTTTTGTAACTCCGCGCCAGAGGGCGACTCTGCAGTCTAAAGTTTTATTTACCCTACACTAATTAGCACTCTCTGTAAAAAAAATCGTTTTATACCCGGATAAAGTTTATGGTAGCAAAATGTAATTTCGATGTCGCGGTTAAAATAATTACTTCCGGATTAATTTCGACGATTTACAGCGTTTTCATGCAAAGTTATTGCTGCCGTCTGTTTTGTTATCGTTTTCCGCATTATATACTGAGGTAACATTTATTTTTGGACGATGTATTACCTAGCTTTGGGTTTACGATGAAATATTTCACACAATTTGGATTAAAAAGTATGGTTCGATCACCCAATTAAGATCTGTCTTAATAAATATAAAGCCAAGATAAAAATGTAATGTCCAAGAACTACACTTAGATGTGGTGTTTTGAATGTTTTGATTTTTGAAATTTATGCACCATTCTCATTTTAACCTCAGCAATGTTCTTATAGCGTAAGTTTTCCGGAAATTATTGATGAAGAAGACGACATAACATTAATAGAGTTCATTTTTAAATGTTCAAATGATATTGCCAAAATAAATTTTACAAATCACTAAGAAAATTCTGATGGAAATTAGACCTTTTAAATTAATAACAAAATTACTGCCAAAAATGGAGAAAATTTAACCGGAGCTAATTCTGTTCAATCTGCTTTTGATACAAACGAGAATGATTTTAGAGTCTCTATCTTCTATATTACTTTCTCATTATACTTAACGGACGAAATTGAAGTCCTACAAATAATAAATAATTTAAATAACACAACGGCTACGGGTGAAGATGAAATACCTACGAGCGTGCTAAAGTATTCTGCAAGGTACTTGGTTAAACCATTTTAATAAACACATCCTTCATTGACGGCCGTTTTCCGGATGAGTTGAAAAAGACAGTAACAATCCCAATCTATAAAAAAGAAGACAAGTCCTGCTATGATAACTATTGTCCAATAACACTCATATCCAATCTTGCAAAAATTTATGAGAAGTACACAACAAAATTATAAATTATTTAAACAAATATAATATATGGCATGAAAATCAAAATGGTTTTCGAAAGGGAAAATCCACCGAACTTGCGATGTTTCAACTGTTTGAAAATATTATCTTGGGATTAAATGGAAAACAGGCCACAACAGCATTGTTCATGGATCTTACAAAAGCCTTTGATAGTGTATGTGGCGAACATCTGGACGCCAGAGAACCTTCTAAACTGTTCAAAAAAATCTTTCTCCGGTCATCTGGGCAGGACACCCTTTTGGTCCAGGCAAAGGGTTCCCGGAAAACTTTCACCGGAGATATTACTGGACGCTCTCCGTGGCAAACATCTGGTCGCCAGAAAGCGTTCGAAACTATTCAGAAGAACTCTCTCCGTACATCTGGACAGCAGATCCTTTTGGTCCAGACAAGGACTCGAAGAGAGCTTTCACCGGGGATGTTACTGGACTCGGGGATAAAAGGAACCAGGATCGGCCCAGAGAGTTCAGTCAGTTACCATCAGTTATCAGTTGTCAGTTAGCAGTTACCAGAGTTACCATCTTACCGTCTGCGTTGTCGTTTCGATCAGCGACTCTTCGAAACACGTTTACATTTAATTTATTGTTTTTATTGTAAATAAAATTTTGTTGTTGAAGACATTGGTTTTCCTAAAACTTCCTCTCGCTACTATCAAAGCATTAGCAACGCAGTGTACATCATTCAATCCTTTTGACCAAGTTGGAGAGACTTGGTTTTAGAGGTGTTAGCTTGTCATAGATGAAGTCCTATCTATCAGGGAGGTTACAATGTATAGTTGCCCACAATGGATATGGAATAGCAATAAGATCAGCTTGAAAGGAAGTCAAGCTGGGAGCAAGGTTTATATATTAAAGGTTGTCTAACAATAAGTTCCTATGCTGCAATACTTTGATTTTAGTTTGTGGGCGAGGGGCAAGAGCAGGAGTGTTTCGTGACGTAAGCGATCACGGAATGCGCACGCAACCTCATGGCCATGTGGTGCTCCATGCCTTTGTTTAATTTGAATTCCTTGGCGGTATTATTTTCCACATGTGACGTAATGCGCAGTATGGTTGCGTACGAACCTAGACAACCTCTTATATATAAACCTTGAGCTGGGAGTACCTCAGGGTTCCATATTGAGTCCTCTATTGTTCCTCCTGTGTGTGAACACTGATTATGAAATCCAGAAATCACTTACTGTTGATCTGAATAAACTTGCGGGTTGGTTTGAAGCGCACAACAATTGCAAGACCAAAATTGTTAATTATCACTTATGCTCTGACCAGATCAAGGCAAGATATCGGGATACTGAGATAGCCAGTGTTGAAGAGATTTCGTTTCTGGGTTGGAAAATGGATCGTGGACTGTCTTGGACCAATAATATTGATTTATTTGCTGGCAAGATCAGTCATTTCAGCCACTCGAATTATTTCCAGATCAGCTGGCATTGAGGTAGTATTAAATGCCTATTATGAATATGTTCATTCCTTGCTAAGATATGGAGTTGTCTTTTGGGGCCGTAGTGTTGATATAGATAGAATCTTCATACTACAGAAAAGGAGTGTAAGAGCAATCTTTGGTCAAAAAAATACTGATAGCTGTAGAAGTTACTTTAAAGACTACCTTGTATGTGTAATTTGTAATTTATATGAAGAATTACTTTGAATTTTTCAAAAAAACATGAAATATCACATCCTCGATATACACGCGGGAAGGTGAACTGCTATCTGGTGCCACAAAAAACGCACCTTATTAAGATTCAGAAGACGGCTCTGTACCGGAGTATCAA